TTTGTCCAATCTACCCGAGAGCTCGGATTTATGGAGGATGTTCTGCAAAGGAAAAGTAGTCACCACGGCTATCAGGTGATATTGGAAGTAGGGACTCAGCTTCCGAGCGGCGACTACGAGAGCTAAGGCCAGTTTTTTCAAATGTGGGTAGCGAGTTTCTGCTCGACTACGTAATAAATGGGAAATTGCATACCTTCGTCCTCCCGGACTAAAACCGCACTTACCGCAACTTCTGAAACCGCGAGGTAGATTAGCAGTGTTTCACCTTCTTTTGGTTTTAAGAGTAATGGAGGGCTCGATAAGTACTTCTTGATATCCCTCAAAGCCTACTGGCACTCCGGTGTCCATTCGAAATTATTCTTCTTTTTGAGCAGTGTGAAGAAGAGATGACATTTTTCCGATGACCGGAAAATGAACCTACTCAAAGCTACTAATCTTCCTGTGATCCTTTGAACTTCCTTTACGTTTGACAATTGATCCGGGATATCCTCTATGGCCTTGATTTTGTTAGGGTTTACCTTAATTCTCCTTTATGAGACCAGAAATCCCAAAAACTTACCAGAACTGACCCCGAACGAGCACTTCTCGGGATTAAGTTTCATATTATGCTTCCTCAGGATGTCGAATGTTTCTTGCAAATGTTTAAGATGGTCACCTGCATTCAAATACTTAACAAGAATATCATCTATATAAACTTCCATAGTCTATCCTATTTGCTTTTTGAACATCTTATTTACGAGCCGTTGATAAGTTGCTCCGATGTTTTTCAACCCGAAGGGCATTACATTGTAACAATATGTACCGAAATTCGTTATAAACGAAGTTTTTTCCTGATATTCCGGGTTCATCTTGATTTGGTTGTACCCGGAATAAGCATTGGGGAAATTCATCAACTCTTGTCCGGCCGTGGCATCAATCATTTGATCGATATTTGGCAGTGGGAACGAGTCTTTCGGGCACGCCTTATTAAGGTTTTTATAGTCACATGCAAAATTTATTGTTCTTCTTAGGAATTACTACTACATTGGCTAGCCAGCCTGGATATCTTACCTCACAGAATGAACTGATTTTAAGCAAGCATGTTACCTCTTCTTTGACGAATTTATTCCTGGCCTCGACAATAGGGCGTTTCTTCTACCTTGCCGGAGGTATGTTGGGATCCAAACTCAGCTTGTGCACGGCTATTTTCGTCGGGATACCTGTCATATCCTCGTGCGACCATGCAAAAAAGTCAGCATTAAATTTAAGAAATTCAATAAAATCAGACCTGAGCTCCAGGTGCAGTCCTGTCCCCAAATGGAATTTTCTTTCTAGGAATTCCTCAAACAATGTAACTTGCTCCAATTCCTCCGCCGTGGACTTCGTTGCATCCGTCTCTTCTAGAACTTGGAAATATCTTGGCACCTGATATTGTTCTGATAACTCTATTTCCAGACTAACTCCTTCTAGTTCGGAAATAGGTGTCGGTTCTTGTAATTGCTATGCCATGCGTTCCTTCCCTTTTCTACTAGAAACTGAGATTGCATTCATCTCCCTTGCTGCCGGTTGATCACCTCTTATATGCTTGGTTCCTTCGGGCGTTGGAAACTTTAGCAATTGGTGATATGTTGATGGTACAACTTTCATCTCGTGTAACCATGGCCTTCTCAGGATAATGTTGTATCCTATGTCACCATCTGCTACTTCGAAGAAAGTTGTTTTCATTACTCCTTCAGTGTTTGTGAGCAGCAAAATCTCTCCCCGGGTCATCACACTTGCAAGGTTGAATCCAGCGAGGAGCTTTGTTGCTGGAATAATGCTTCAGGTGAGTTTAGTTTGCTCCAATACTCTCCATTGTATGATATTAGCCGAACTTCCTGGATCCACTAAAACACGTTTAATCTTAAAATCTAACACATTTAAAGAAATTACCAGTGCGTCGTTGTGTGCTAACAGTAATCCGTTTGCATCCTCCTCCGTGAAAGTGATATCGTCTTTCCGGAGTCTTTTACTATGAGTTATTGATATTTTCATCTTCTTCGCTGCCGAAAAGGTGACCCCGTTAATCTCATTCCCCCCGAAGATCATATTGATCGTTTGGCATAGGGGTTCTTCTCTTGCTTTCGGAAGTTCCGCGTTGTCTCTGTTACGACCATAATTGTTCTTAGCTCGGTCACTCAAGAATTCTCTGAGGTGACCATTCTTCAATAATGTTGCCACCTCCTCTCGGAGGTGTCCGCAGTCCCCTGTCCGGTGACCGTTCGTCCCATGGTACTCGCACCATAAGTTGGGATCTCTCTGGCTGGAATCGGATCTCATAGGTCTCGGGAATCGTGCATCTTTAATGTTTCTCATGGCTTACACCAGCTCCACTGTACTGACATTGAAGTTATATTCCGATAACTTGGGGTAAGAAGGATCCCGAGAACCGGACGTCTCCTTATCCTGGAGTGATCTATTATTTCGACCACGATCAGTCCCTCTGTCAGCGATAAACTTATTTGTTGCCCGGAAGTTTCTGCCACGTCATTCGGTCCACTCGTAGGGCAGAAACCGGCCCCTCGAAGTCCGTCTGTCCATGTCGTAGTCATCATTTGATTTTTCTCTGTTCTTCTCCTATCCTTTAGCCGATGATGTGGAACCGACCTGATCATCTTCAATCCTTATCTTTGACTCCTACCGGTTATGGACATCTGCCCAAGTTGTTGCTTGGAACTCAAGCATGCTCTCCTTCAACATCCGGGAAGCGTCTAAGCTTCTCGGGTTCAATCCTTTGGTGAATGCTTCAACTTCCCATTCATCAGGGACAGCCGGGAGCAATATTCTTTCTTTCTGGAATCGGGTAATGAATTCTCGTAATAATTCGGATTCTCCCTGTGCGATCCTGAATATGTCGGCCTTCCGGGATTATAATTTTTTGGCCCCGGCATGAGCCTTGATGAAAGAATCCGTGAGCATCTCAAAGGAATCTATGGAATGCTCGGGTAATAATGAATACCACGTTAGGGCTCCCTTCGTGAGAGTTTCTCCAAATTTCTTTAGCAGCACAAATTCAATTTCGTGAGGAGCTAGATCATTTCCTTTTACCGCCGTTGTGTAGGTGGTAATATGCTCTTGTGGGTCTAAAGTCTCATAATACTTTGGCATTTCAAGCATTTTGAATCGCTTCGAGATTAGTTCTGGTGCCGCACTCGGCTTGTACGACGATTGAGTATACTTCTTCGAGTCCGGGCCTTTTAATACTGGTGGCGCGCCCCGCGATTTGGTCCATGCAGGCATTTACTTCCCTCATAAACCGTAAAAGTTCATTCTTGAACGGGTCGTTCTCGTTGTTCAGACCGGATCTGCTCCCCCAGCCCCGTCGGAGCCAACTTCGCCCCTGGGAGTGTTGTTGTCGACTCTCTGTGTCGTTTGGTTTGCGGGAACACCAGGAGGAATTGGATCTTGTCTGTTTGCGTTATTTGAAGCCCCCGATAGTACCTGCTTCAGTTTCGTCATAACCTGGTCCTGCCGCGTGAGATGGCCTAGAATGATTGCTTGTTGTTCTCGCAAGACCCTCATCGCATCCACAACATGTTCCTCATCAGCATCATTAGGAGTTATATCCCGAACCTGTCGAGGATACTGTCTGTCATGCACCGGCGTGGCGTCATTCTCCTCATTGCGGGTGTCATTGATTGAATCCTCGAAATGAGGCCGATCCCCTCGAATTTCAGGGGCGTGCGTGTCGTTAACAGTGTTATCTGTCATTTTTAATGATTTTTTCTAAGACAAAATAATCAAATCGCGTTAGTAAAAAAGGCGAGGATCAATTTAATTGCATGGCTGTCTAGGCCCCACGGTGGGCGCAAACTATTTAAGCTTCGTATAGAATATAGTATAAGTTTTGCCAGAAAATTCGTGTCTTTTACCATGATAACTGATCTCACTATTTATAGTTATGTCTAGGGAAGGAGATCCTAGGATCGTACCCTCCTTTAATGTCAATTATGAGAGTCATTGATGAAGACGTAACGGTGAACATAAATGCCGAATTCCTGTAACGGACCGTTGCTCTTAATGCTACAGAATATTCCCTATTAAATGCTACCGGGCGCAGAGCATTTAACACACCTTTATGAACGTTATCCTTTTCGGTGACAAGTGGAATGACTGCGTTCGGTTTTCGGCCATCCCTGTCTTGGGCTCCACGTGTCCTCCCTTTAGACTATCACGTGTCATATCATATTTCACCATGTACAAAAATATGAGATATAGAGTAATAACTTATTCATGAAATAGGAGGAGCATTTTCTGTAACTCTGGGGAGCCCACTACTACCATTATTGTAAGTAGCAAGGAGTCTTTCGAAATTATACAACAAGAGGAAAAAAGAAAAAGAAATTTCTTGGTCAGTTCATATGTTATCCATAAAATGTTCCGTTCCTTAGCCTCAAATCTTTGAGGGCTTTTATTATTTTGGCAAAACAGATTATTTCTGTGAATTTGGGCAATGAGCTCGTTTACAGTGATGAACGTGGCAAAGCCATTTATACTTGCTTCTAACGAACCCACTACATCTTTCCCCAAAAATCTTACTGCTTTTCTCCCAAACCCAAAACTTGCCGCTACTAGTTTCAATAGTAGGAACAGTATTTTGCCATTTGTGTGGCAACTGAAGTGTAAAAATGTATGTACTACTTATGCTGCGTTATCCTCCTCATATTCAAAAGAAATACTAGCTGATATTGATGAGGAAGAGTTTATAGTGGTAAATTTCTACCGCTTTGTTTTCATTAAGGACCCTGAAGAGGAGGTCACCAAACACCTTTCCTTTATGGAGGTAATTGTTTATTCTTATGCTCCCTCTATCCCAATGTATGTGATTGTTTTGGACTTGCGCGAAGGTTTAAGAGAAAATAAAAAACTTTTGAAATTTGTAGTTGAAAATAAGCATACATATTTGTGTGGCCATAATTCTTCTCATTAAGGATAAATTAGATATTATTTTAATTAAATTGTTACTAAATATAGAAAGAAATCATTCTTTTGGACCGACTAAAAAGGAAATAATGTCATATAAAATTATTGGGATAGAGAGAGTACTTTTTTTAGCTCATTAGCTGAATTGTGTGCACCGTATCATTTAAAAGTTTAAACTATTAAAGAGGGACAATTCATTTTAGGTCTACAACAAGCACTTGCGAGTCTTATTCTTTTTACATTTTTAACAAAAATTGCCAACTTCCTCGACTACTCCATATACCTGCTATCTCCCACCAATATAGGTACAAGGTTACTCTCTCTCCAAGTCCTAGAACTGCTAGGCTACACCCTTTAAGTACGAGTCTAATTCTTTTTATTTATTGGGCACATAATATTTTTGTTCATGGGTGGTGAGACTTGAACCTAGGACCTAGTCTGCTATAATACCATATTGAGTTGTTTCAACCGACTCGTAATAACACCTAAAATAAATGAAGAGGAACACTTTTACTCATTTATTTTAGAGCTGCAACATAGTGAAATAACTTAATAATTAAACTGGCAGAAACACAGAATATTTGGTGCCCAACAAGGGGAGTAGGTTGCTCTATATTATACCTAATGCGTCTGCATTATACCATGCACAATGCTCAGTCTCCCCGTGAGTTCCAGCTGCCAACACATAAGAACAGAATAAATAGTTGACAACCTTATGGGTGATATACTTTGAACAGTTATCTAGTGTAACATATGTTATTAGACTTCTCCTCGAGTTTTCACTCATCTCTTGAGTTGGTTTTGACATATCAATTGCATTTATATGTATGGTTGTATGAACTACAGAATGGGCAAAAATATCTAGTCTTGGAATGTTTCAAGCATTCTCGAACAACAAGAGGTTTTTAGTGCTAACAATTAACATCACCTGGATTGGAAAGTAGTCCAACTCTCCTGACTTTTCTAAGATATGCTTTTCATTTTATTTGGTTTGAATTCTATAATACTGGTGAAAGAGGATAGAGTTGGTGTTCATTTAAGATGTCATCCAATTTTGGTGGAGGACATAGTTATAGTTTCATTCACCTTGAGGAAGAGGAAGATTTTGACTTAACTTTGCATGTTATATTTTTATTTTAAATATTTGATGTTTTGAATCTAGATCTTGCCATATGTATTCCAAAACAAGGATTACAGTTATTTTCTCTAACCCGGAGAAGCAGTTTAAAGGATCATGGATTATGCTGCATACAGAGTTTATCAATTATTACTGGCTTGGATTTCAAGCTCTGTGGTGGTTGAAGGCAACTTGCTCTTTTCAATTGAGATCATTTTACTTCAGATCATGTATTTTATAAAAACTCCTTGGCTCCAAAACGTTGATAGCTTTTTGGTACTACATACTACTGCATGTATATCAGTGCAATTCTTGATTATGTGTTAAGTGCTCAGTCAGATTAATATAACATATTTCTCTTTGATGCAGGGACGAGATGTACATGGCCGCATATACTTAAACCAACAGGGAATTAATGCACAGGTAGGACTGTTTTGTTACTATCACACTGTTCTTAGCCTTTTGTTTTCTGCTTTGGGCGTTGCTATTGTTTAACCAAAAATTTGAATATCATGGTTCTACTCGGTATTTTTATTCAATATTCAGCTGAGAGCTCAAAACTTTGATTGTTTAATATTTGGTGGGAGGGAATATGTGGAGGCCATTATTTGATTTTTTAATTTTTATTTATGTTTTGCACTTAAGGGTGTGGCCTAGTGGTAAATGAAGTGGATTGAGAACCACGCGGTCTCTGGTTCAAATCCTAGCGGAGGCAAACACACTGCGTGATTTTTTTCCATCTGTCCAAGCGTTAGTGGACAGACACCCAGTACCTGTGCTGGTGGGAGGTAGCAGGTACCTCGTGGAATTAGTCGAGCTGCACGCAAGCTGATCTGGATATCACAATTATTAAAAAAAAATATTTGGAGGCCATTAATTAGGTCTTGAGTTTTTCTTTTAGACTAGGAAAAATGATGTACTGGTAAGTGTAGGAATAGGATCCATGGAATTTGTGTAGTATAATATGTTTTGAACTCTTTCTTCGAGTAAAGTGAACATAATTTTAGGACAGAGATAAAAAGAAAGCTAGACATCCAATTTAGGATAGAAAGAGCGATATGAAGCAAGATAGGGCGTACCTGTTAAAAAAATGTAAAAAGTTAGTCTTTTTTTTACTTTTATTTTATCCTTAAATGAACGCAGAAAGGATAGGTTAATGATTAGCATGCCTCATGGTCCTCAAAGTATATCTTTTCCTAAGAAATCATATTCCTGTGGTTCTGAACTGAAAATTCTTTAGATCACCAGCTCAGTGTTGCTACAGGCCACTCTAAATCCTCCTTGCCAGCTATAAGTCAAACAAAGTTATTCTGTCTTCTAATACTTCCTGTTGGTGCAGTACAGTGGACCAAAAAAGGATGCTCTTGCTTATGTTAGTTGGGTGAGGGAAGACCTCAGATTTTCTGATGTACTGGTCCAGATCTCGCCAGCATCAAACGGGCATACCTTTCCAAGATTGAAGTTGCGTTATAAGCCCTCTCTTGTACAGGCAAGTCTCGCACTGTCTCATTCCTGCATGCTGTTTCCTGCTTGTCTGGCTCACCAGCTACTTCATGGGTAATAACTTAAGGGATATCTTTTCTTCATGACATGTGAATTGATAGAGTTTAAATTTTGCTTTTATTACTCCCACCCAATAACTGCAATTGTCAGATTATGTATATCGTAAAGACATGCTTATTACTTTAGATTTGCGCTTTGTTCTGTTTGATATAGCAGCCTCTTTGGCCCAGTATTATGTCTTCTTGCGGGCAGGCAACTAACTCATCAGCTTCTGTGTTCTTTCTTCCTGACAATTACAAGACTAATGCAAATATGACTATTTGGTCAACATCTTTTGGTTTAAAACTGTCATATTATTTTATACCCTTCGGCCAGCTAAAGGAAAAGATAAAAAAGAGCAAAATGAAGTAATGGATTTAGTAGTATAGTATTTCTGTTTAGCTTTCCCAAGATTTGTTTTCTCAAGTGATCAATTGTCAGTACCAAAGTCAAAGTGGCTCAGCAGAATAACCCACTTTAAGACTGATCTTATGAGAGGTAAGCTCAGAAAAGGATTTCAATTTAAGATTGACTATAGAGGAAGTAGATAGTGGATGCAGTACATACAGATTGCTCTTAGAGAGGTTTGCACAATCAATTAACAATTCAAATGTTCTTAAAACAATAAAAACCTATAGCGTCCGTATTTTCAAATTACCGCATATTTCTTAATTTGTGGAAATCTTAGATGTTGAATGAAACTTGAAGGTCAGCAAAGATATTGGAAAAGAAGTTGGGATTGATGGTTCATATGGGCATGTCTTAGCATCTGCATAAGTAGCTCCCATTGACGGTAAGGTAGGCTTACAATTTCCTTATAAAAGAAGCATCTGCATAAGTAGTGCTTTTCTGAGGTTCAAGGGGGAAAGTTTATCCATTTATAGAGGACCAATGTATATATTAATATATCCTTTCTCTGTTGTTTAAAGCTTATATTGATACTTTTAACATTTTGTCAACAGTTGGAAGGAGGGATTTCTCACCTTCCTTTGCTTGATCCATCTATGAGAGCGGAACCTTTGGCACCATCTGAATGGAGGAATAGATTGGAAGCTGTAAATAACACTAATAGTTCATCACATGAAAACATCAATCCCAGTTGTATACTTCTTGATGTGAGAAATGGTAAGTATTCTTCTGTTGCTTGTTACTGACATTTTTAGTGTTTCTTCGAATGCTCTGGAGGTGTTATATTTATGGGGTTGGCCTGATTAAACAATGTGGCCAACTCTTGATGCTGGTTGTTTAAGTTTCACCCTGCTCAAGGTAAATAAACCTGTTATTCTTGTAGAAGTACATATATTCCCAGCCCCCTCATGGGATTGTTTTATCCCACAATTGAGGGATATCCGGAAGCTACTTAAGTCTCTATCACAATGTTTAGCTGCGATACCACGCGATAAATAAGAGAAGAGGAGATATTGATGACGTGGTGAATATGGAATATAAGACACCATTCATCTTATATTTAATTCGTCAATCACTAACTTAATATCAACACTTAAACAGTGATTCTAACATTCTAACATGCTAACACTTGTAATTGTCTACAGCTTCATGCTCTACGTTTTAAATCTATGATTGGACCAGTCTAGTCCCATTCTAAGTTGCTCCGGCATGGCAGTTTAGGTGCCGTACCCGTGTCGATACGACACTAGTATGGGGGTGGGTATGGGATCCGTACCGGATCTGGTCAAACAATTTGGGTACTTTGACCGCGACGGACGGAAAAATTCGAGATGAGATACAATTTGATTCTCGAAATCAGAACCAAAACTAGGGTAAATTTGAAGAAAATAGCATACCTTATCTAGGAAATCAATCCTTTACTTATCTACAACTTGAAAGTAAAAAAGAAATTCACACTTTACAAGCTATACATAAGTATTCCACAAAATTTAGATATATTTTTATATTTTTATTTTGTTGAATTATTTTTAGCCATATCCCCGCACCCGTGTACTAGGATCCGTATCACCGAATCTTAGAATTTACATCTCGAAGGATCCGACCTCTAGATCCGCACCCATGTCGGACACCCGCGCCCGTGTCCGAGCAACTTAGGTCCCATTCCATGTCTTGTATATAAACCAAAAGGCCACTTAAAGTGAAACATCTTATTATGCTCTCTGTAAAAGTCAGCTATCGTCTTTGCTATTTCTTTTGCATAATTTAATATTTCAAGTGCCTTTGTGCTAATAGATTCTGGTTTGATTTTCCGGAAGGTTATGAATGGGATGTTGGGCATTTTCAAGGCGCTCAGCGACCGGATGTTGATTGTTTTCGGTCCACTTCATTTGGGCAATCTGACTCAGAGGTTTTAGCTATTTGTTACCCAATTTTCTGTCTTGTCGTCCAAGCTAATGCTAGTAAATTTAATTTGTTGTTACTTTTACATAATTTGAAGTGCTTGCTTTCTTTCTGATCCCATTACTTGACCAAAAGCCGTAAGTATTAGTTTTCCATGTCGACCATAGTATAATGCAGGAAAACACTTCCCGTCTCAGGGCTTCTCTTGTTTCTTCTCTACGTTAATGAGTAATGTATCTGGCTAGAATCAACCTATTGGGATGATGTGAAATCTGGTACTTGCTTGCATAATATCCTGGTATTTGTTACCGTTGTATTCTCGTTCATAGTTGCACTGCTGCATGCTGCTATTTTCCTTGGTTGTATGTCCGATGTATGCTTAATATGAAACTTAAAGATTGTCACCTCCTGCACAAGACAATATCGTGGAACGTGCTTTTGTCTGTAAATATAACTAATATCTTGCCATCCTGTTATGCAGGTGATTGCTTCAGATCCTTTAGCAGCTGTTGATAAGGAGAGAACTGATATATTGATGTACTGCACTGGAGGTATCCGCTGTGATGTATATTCTGCTATACTACGGTAAGCTGTGTGTTCTTTTTGTATGCGTTTATGTTCTATCATGTACTTAAGTGCTATAGCATAGATGTGTGAGATAGTGGAACTTTGAGCAGTCTCTTAAGAGACACCATAAGAATATCCCCTTTTCGGCTTTTCCTGGTTAAAGTACTTCAAATATAGAATTTGTTGTCATCTACGCTCCACAAAGCAATTATCTTCCCATAATTTCTCCCCCAAATCATACTGTTGAGGGGTGAGAATAGCTACTTTGCTGGTGTTTGTACATTTCATACTGCTCTTCTACATAGATCATCTGTTGGTTAAATGAGCTACATAACCCTCATTGGAAGTCAATTTATGAATCAGGCTGCTCTGCTGCATGCATACGTGGAAATTATTCAAGCTTTTACCTGTAGGAAATTGCATTAGTATATAAGTTTCTTCAGTAGCCAACATCAGTAGGATCTCTCAAATGCAATTTATAAATTCTGTTGGGCTAAATACTTCTGTTATATACTTCTGGAAACTAAGATTAGGTTTGAGGAGTATGTGCCTAAACTTTGTCAGCTATCATATGGCTATTCAGTTGCTCAACATAAATTATTCATCTCAATATTCAGGTGCATGTGATTTCACCATCACTAGAATTGGGATCTTAATTAATGCTTTGCACTATCTGTTGTTCAGTTTTACCTTTGTGTCTTACGTGAAAATGTTGTGTGTGTTCACGGCTGACAACTTATTTTATTTTCGCAACAGAAAGCAAGGTTTTAAACGATTGTACACCTTGAAGGGGGGTGTTTCTCATTATCTTGAGAGAGAAGGTTCTGTAGGTTGGGTTGGAAATCTATTTGTATTTGATGCCCGTCTTTCTCTGCCGCCTTCTACTTACAAGCCTGAAGTGGGGATCGAAGCAAGCACAAAGCTAAAAGGCTCCCTGGATAACTCGTTTGCCAAATGCTACATCTGTGGTTCACAAGTCTGTGAGCTGAGGCACCGCAATTGTGCAAACCTTGACTGCAACTTACTTTTCCTGTAAGACTAACCATTCCACCAAATAAACATATGGATGGATGCTACTTTAATCACTTATATTTGCACCATCAAGCCTGTGGAGTTGGTATATGATTTGTTTTACTTCCAAAATTCAGCTAACGAGAGACATTTTGGGCGAAAGACTTCCATGACTTAGCTTACCTATTTGTATCAACTTTCCTCCAAGTAAGTAGGAGAAAGAAGTTGATGTCTCTAGCCAAGGATCCTTAAGATAAAACTTTTTCTTAAGTGCTTTCCTCCAAAACGGTAGAAGAAAGAACTTTTTTCTCTAGGCAAGGATTCATCAGTTTAAAACTTGTCTTACTTTTCTATCTCCAGCGAAACGAAGGCTGCTCTTATATTACTCTGTGGTTTGTATCAGTTATATAAACACTAAACAGTAGATTGAAAGAAAGTGTGTACTTATATTCGTTCTAATACTTCATTGGTTTTGTTCAGATGCTGCGCAGGCTGCGTGAAAGATCTAAGGGGATGCTGCTGTTCTCAATGCACATCTGCACGTCGACTTAGGCCGGTGCTGACAGGTAACCAGAGATACCAAAAATGGCATAATTATCGAGATTTCGAGTTGCAAAGCCGGTGACATCTTGATCTGTTGGAAGTTGAAAATGTAGATCTCCAATTATTGGGGAGACCGAATGGAAAATTAAGAGAGAAAACTGACCTCTATTCTCTACATACTCCAAAATTCAGGTTCCAAAAAGACTAGTTTCTCTTTTATTGGTTTAGTCTAATTTTATTTAATGCGGGAGGAATGTCCATCAGTCACAAAATTAGGTTGTTAAGTACCCCTATTAGGTGAAAATATTAGGCATATATAATCTTGGAAGAACGTTGTCTTTTACTGATAATTAGATATTATTGAAGGCTGAATTTAATTGGGAAGTATCACTTTGTGTACTTAGGTTATTAGTATTTTTTAAGACATAATCAAACATCCATATGCTGATTTTGTATACGATTAAAATCGGGCCTACCCGATTTTACTATTTGACCGAGACCGGGAGTTTGCATTGGAGGATGGCCTCGTAACGGAATAGGCCATATCACGAGGATAAGGTACCGAGTTTAGAACCGAGGTACCTGTCAAGATCGAGGCTAGTAGCGATCGAAGCCAAACAAAACAGACATCGAGCAAGATCGAAGATAGCACAATAACAGAAAGGCGAGATATCCGTGACTGGTCGAGGATTATGGCGTAAATCTCGGTGACTGGTCAAGGATCATGGCGTAAATCTCAGAACGGATCAAATCAGAAACGGTTAATTTGCTAATCATGGGATTTTCTTCTGTAATTAGAGTTATACCATAAGTGGAACTGCTCTACTATATAAAGGGGAGTATTAACCATTTGTAAGACATGGTTCTCACGTAAAAAAGCTAATATAACGCTCTCTTTAGCTTATACTTTCTTGTTCATCAACTTGCTTTATTTTTAACTATTTTGGTATCAATCAGTTCGAGGGCACCCTAGCTCGAGGGTTGAATTTCGTTTCAATACTGGTTCGCTTTATTTTATAATTCATTTCTGTTATTAATCTTCATATTTGTCTATAGGTATTAAGTGAAATCGCGTATCCTTAGAATCTCATTATAAGTTTAATTGTTATTCAATTTTAAGGGTAAACAGTTTGGCGCCTACCGTGGGGCTAAGGATAATAGTGATTGCTTAATACTAATTTCGATAACACACACTACTTTACACTTGTTCTCGTAAGAATCTTTGTTTTCAGGATAAATATGTCAAACTCGCAAGCAGAACCTACACATGGTGACAACAACCTCGGATTTCATGGGAAAAACGACAACATAACCGCCCCAGGAATCGAGGTGCCTCAGGCCGACCTCGAGGGAGCACCAATTGCAAATCCCGTCGATGTCAGTTCACATGTCGCCCTAAATGCAAATTTGGGCGTTGAGCCCGAAGGTAGTATACGCAGGGAAGTTCGATCAGGTGGTCGAGGTACGCAGGGCGGAGAAGATGGTGGAGTTAGTCTCCAATTGATATTCGAATTGTTACAAGCTCAACAAGCCGATATAGCACAACTACAAAATCAGCACCGAACACCGAGTAGGTTCGAACCAGAAGTCGTTCGCAGGACTGGGCCTGTGCCAGAAAGGTCGAATGCCAACGAATCGGGGACTGACCCCGCCATTATGAAAATGTTCGAGGAGCTCACTAAACGGATTGAATCGGGAGAAAAAATATTGAGGCAAATGACAAGAAAATGGAGACATACAACTTCCGGGTTGACCAAATACCAGGGGCACCACCGATTCTAAAAGGTATGGATTCAAAGAAATTTGTACAGAAGTCCTTCCCATCAAGTGCGGCACCGAAACTCATTCCGAAGAAGTTCCGAATGCCAGAAATTCCTAAGTACAATTGGATCACCGACCCTAATGAACATGTCACTTCTTATACATGCGCAATAAAGGGAAATGACTTAGAAGACGATGAGATTGAATCTGCTCTACTGAAGAAATTTGGAGAAACCTTGTCGAAAGGAGCAATGATATGGTACCACAATTTGCCGCCTAGTTCCATCGATTCATTCGCCATGCTTGCAGACTCCTTCGTAAAGGCACATGCCGGAGCAATAAAGGTTGCGATTAGAAAATCGGACCTCTTCAAGGTGAAACAAAAAGACAATGAAATGTTGAGGGAATTCGTATCTCGGTTTCAGATGGAACACATGGAACTACCACCGGTCACAGACGATTGGGCTGTTTATGCCTTTACTCAAGGTTTGAACGAACGAAGTTCGGTGGCATCACGACAACTAAAGCAAAATTTAATTGAATATTCAGCGAAAACCTGGGCCGATGTACATAATCGGTACCAGTCGAAGATCAGGGTCGAGGATGATCAATTGGGGACCCCTTCCGATTCCGCTTATCCAAATAGGCCCGTTGGTAGAACTCAAAGGGATATCGATAGAGAACCCCGGTCGAGCAGAGATCGGTATCTATCATACAACGCAGTTCGTAGAAACAACGGCCCAGGACGCAATCCCATCCGAAATGATCGAAGGAACGATCGAAGACCGAGCTCTCGAGGGCTCATGAGCAAAAGTGGCTTCGATAAACATGCCAATCCCACAGAAGCACCACGATTGTCAGAATGCAACTTCAGCATCGACGCATCAGGTATTGTGTCAGCCATAATCAAAGATACTAGATGGCTCAAACCCCTACAAATCGATCCATCCCAAAGGAACCCCAATCAAACATGCAAATACCATGGTACACATGGTCATAAAACCGAAGACTGCAGACAACTAAGGGAGGAGGTGACCCGTTTATTCAACGAGGGTCACCTTCGAGAATTCTTGAGCGACCGAACTAAAAACCATTTCAGAGACAGAGACGCAAACAGGAAAAACAAGTAGGAAGAACCACAACACGTGATTCACATGATCATTGGTGGGGTCGATATTCCACAAGGACCCGTGTTCAAACCCACTAAAGTATCAATCACCAGAGAAAAACGAACTCGAGACTATGTGCCAGAAAGCGCTTTATCATTCAATGATGAGGAAGCAGAAGGGATCTCACAACCCCACAATGATGCTTTGGTAATCTATATCCTTATGAATAAAATTCAGGTTAAACGTGTTTTAATTGATCCAGGAAGCTCGGCCAATATTATTCGATCGAGGGTCGTGGAGCAGCTCGGCCTATAAGATCAGATCGTACCCGCAACTCGGATTCTCAATGACTTTAACATGGCAAGCGAAACAACTAAAGGTGAAATCATCCTACCAGTAAATGTAGCCGGAATTATTCAAGAAACAAAGTTCCATGTGATCGAAGGCGATATGAGATACAACGCACTGCTCTGAAGACCCTGGATTCACAATATGAGGGTGGTCCCCTCAACCCTTCACCAAATGCTGAAGTTCCCAACACCGGATGGAGTAAAAACAGTGTATGGGGAACAACATGCTGCCAAAGAGATGTTCGCGGTCGACGAAGTGATACCGATATCGTCGCTTTCGTCAACAAAAGGATCGGAGTCCAAAGGAAAACAAGAAGCTAAATAGCAACCACAGCTACCAGCCTCGACTCAATCGGAGAAGCAGGGAACGGACGATGACGATGACGATGACTATTGGATCCCTCGATCCTTCATAATCCTCGAGGATTCCGACGCCACCAAATCGACGGTCGAGGAGCTAGAACAAGTTGTACTGATCGAGCATCTACCCGATCGAAATGTATACCTGGGTACAGAGTTAACCCCCGAGCTCAGGAGAAAACTTATCAATTTTCTTATAAATAATATGGATTGTTTTGCTTAGTCCCATTTAGATATGACAGGGATCCCGCCGAAAATCGCTACAAATCTACTAAGCTTGGACCCGAAGTTCCGCCCGGTAAAACAAAAGAGAAGACCCCAGTTCGAGGTAAAACATGCATTCATCAAGAACGAGGTAACCGAACTTCTCAAAATAAGATCCATTCGCGAGGTAAAATATCCCGAATGGTTAGCAAACGTAGTTGTAGTCCCTAAAAAGGGAAATAAACTTAGAATGTGCGTAGACTATAAAGATTTAAACAAAGCATGTCGTAAAGACTCTTTTCCTCTGCTGAATATCGATCGCATGATCGATGCCAAGGCCGGCCACGAGATCCTTAGTTTTCTCGATGCCTACTCCGGGTACAATCAAATACAAATGAACCCGGAGGATCAGGAAAAGACTTCGTTCATCACTAAGTATGGCACCTATTGTTATAATGTAATGCCGTTTGGACTAAAAAATGCTGGTGCCACTTATCAACGCTTAATAAATCGAATGTTCGAAGAACAAATAGGTAAGTCAATGGAAGTTTATATTGACAATATGCTAGTTAAGTCCCTGCGAGCAGAGGACCATTTGACACATTTGTAGGAGACCTTCGATATACTAAGGGAATACAACATGAAACTCAACCCGGAGAAATGTGCATTAGGGGTCGGCTCAGGAAAATTCCTCGGCTTTATGGTATCAAATCGGGGTATCGAAATCAATCCCGATAAGATCAAGGCAATCGAGGACATCACAGTCGTGGATAATGCTAAGGCCGTACAAAGATTAACAGGGCGCATAGCCGCCCTAGGGCGATTCATCTCGAGGTCTTCAGATAGAAGTCACAGGTTCTTCTCACTGCTCAAAAAGAACAACAATTTTGCATGGACCCCGGAATGCCAACAAGCATTGGAAGAACTAAAGCAGTACCTCTCGAGCCCGCCACTGCTTCATACTCCGAAAGCGGACGAGCAACTATACTTGTACTTAGCAGTCTCGGAAATCGCGATAAGTGGTATCCTAGTTCGAGAAGAGCAAGGTACGCAATTTCCTGTTTATTATGTTAGTCGAACTCTAGGCGAGGTTGAGACCCGGTACCCATACTTAGAAAAATTAGCACTTGCCCTAATAAGCGCCTCTAGGAAATTAAAACCATATTTACAGAGTCACCCGATCGGCGTGGTGACTACTTATCCTCTTCGCAATATTTTGCATAAGCCCGAACTTTCGGGCCGATTGGCCAAATGGGTCGTCGAGATCAGTGGGTACGATATCGAGTATCGACCCCGAACGACCATCAAGTCTCAAAGCTTAGCGGACTTCGTGGCCGACTTTACGCCAACCCTCGTACCCGAGGTTGAAAAGGAACTATTAATAAAGTCGGGTACATCATCGGGGGTGTGGACCCTCTTCACAGATGGTGCTTCAAACGTGAAGGGGTCCGAGTTAGGCATCGTTTTGAAGCCACCCACGGGTAATACAGTTATACAAGCTATCAAAACTGCCAAGTTAACTAACAATGAAGCCGAGTATGAGGCCATGATTGCAGGTCTCGAGCTAGCTAAAGGTTTGGGAGCAGAAGTCATCGAGGCAAAATGTGACTCCTTGCTTGTGGTAAACCAAGTCAATAGAACCTTCGAGGTTCGAGAAGATTGAATGCAGAGATACTTGGACAAACTACAGGTGAATCTACATCGGTTTAAAGAATGGACTCTACATCATGTGCCTCAAGAACAAAACAGCGGGGCCGATGCCCTCGCAAATTTGTGGTCATCAGTCGAAGACGACGAGATCAGCTCGG